AGGTGGTTTGGGCTCAATGGTTGGGTTGTGCATGGTAACCCACAAATTGAATTAAGGTTGCATGAAGACTAGGGCAACATTTTTAAGGCTTCATAAGTGCTAAAAAACGTTACTATTTGCTTCATAAAGCCTCCTAGCCGTTTTTGACACTCTTTGGTGGATTAGGGTTACACTTTAATGCTTATAATGACTCCTTAATGCTTCTTATGGCTCCTTAAGCAAGCATAGCCGTTTTTTTTTCATTCACAAGTCTCATGGACGTTTTTTTTTGTGTTCTTTCAAGAGTTACCTTAATTTCTATTTACTAGTTTTAATGAATAATTGGTTGGTTGGCTTGTAACCACCAAATTTGTAATAAAGGCTTCATATAAAGCCAAATTATGCATGGAAAAAGTAATGCACGAATTTTAATCAAAGAACCATTATTTTCACCTTGAATTATTGTTATAATTCTCAAATTATCTTGTTGGGACGTGTTCTTGACTTGATACGAACTCAATCCAATAGGTCTTGGATTGTTTTCATCGGTATACAACTTAATAGGTCTTGAGTTGTTACTATACTATCTATCTATTTCTTTCCATTCACATATCATTTGTGGTTGCTATTCTCTCTTAATTTACCTAAACACTACCCTACTCACTAAATCAAGCCCATGCACGTATCATAAGTGGTATCAGAGCCTAGTTCCGATTGGGTGTAACTGAGTTCTTGTTCAAGAAAAATTCTTGCTATTTTTTTATTTCAGTTGTTCAGAAGTTATTGTCCAAAAATGTTGCGCAAATTATATGATGAAGAACAAATAGAGGAAGATAAATTTGAAGAAGAGGAGGAAGAAGATTCCGGTCCCATCTACGACACCGATGGAGAAGGGGAATTTGTGAAAGAATAAATTTCTTGGTTGAAGAGGAATTTATTGAAGAAATTGAAGAAGAAACTAATTTCGTGATCGGAGATGAATTTGTTGAAGCAATTGTGGAAGAAATCAATTTTGTTGATATGGACAAAATTGTTGAAGAAATTGTGATTTTTGTTGAACAACAAATTTCATTCCAAGAGCTTACAACCACGAGAACAAATGACTATAAGTGTCACAAAAATTCAGGTTCTCATATCTTTTATGAACATAATTTCTTTTCTAAAGATCTTAAAGAAATCCAAATTGGAAGCTTCATTGATCAAGAAGGTTTATTCGTTTTTCATCTTCATTTTCGTTTCAAAGTGTGGGAGATTTTTACACTTTGGAGGCCATGGAATGCTTATATTTTGCATTTTGAAGGCCTTGGTGAGAGGTTTGATTTTACTAATTATGATCTTAATAATGATGTTTTTGTTTTGTCTTCGTTCATTGATCAAAGGAGAAAAAAAGACTTGTGTATTACTTTTGATAAAAAGTTTTGTGCAATTAGAGATGGAGACTTTTCATTCATGGCCTCAAAAACAGCAAGACAATTATTTTGGATGATGGCAGAATTTTGTACCCTTCAAAAGACATTATGATGATTTCCAAAAAAATATGTGTTCATGGTGGTATCAATCAGTCACCAAAAGAGGCATTGCGTGGCAATTCTTATGCCCATTTTCTATGTTGTCCACAAACAAAACATATTTTCATTAATTCTTCATTCATTGTTCAAAAACACCAAGACCAATGGCGTGAAGTTTGTTGGGAACGAAAGAAGAAGGATGGTATCCATCTTTTTACAAACCATCTTTCTAAGAGAAAATCTGAAGATGCAAGTCCATGACAGGTTGTTTGAAGAAAGGAGTCTTTGCATGGGGAGAAGAAGCTCAAAAGGCATTTGAGAAACTCAAGGCATTATTGTGTGATGCTCCTATTTTAGCTCTTCCAGATTTTTCTCAGCCATTTGAAGTGGAGTGTGATGCAAGTGGAGTTGGTATTGGGGCTGTTTTGATCCAATCCAAACGTCCTATTGCTTATTTTTCTGAAAAGTTGGGTGGTGCTCGTTTTGAATTATTGCACTTATGATAAGGAGTTTTATGCTATTGTTCGTGCTTTAGATCATTGGAGTCATTATTTGCGTGCAAATCATTTTATTTTGCATTCTGATCATGAATCCTTGAAGTACATCATGGGCAACAATTACAAGAACATTGAGCACAAGACATGCAGTGGGTGGAGTTCTTGCAATCCTTTCATTTTTCATGCAAATACAAGGATGGCAAAAGCAATGTGGTGGCTGATGCACTCTCGAGGCGTTACTCATTATTGGTGACTTTGGATGTTCGTTTTTGGGATTTGAAAACTCTAAAGGACCATTATCAATATGATATGGACTTTGGAGATATGTTTTTGAAATGTGCAGGTGGTCCTAATGGTGAATTTGTGATTCAAGATGGTTTTATTCAAAGGAATCGCCTTTGTGTCCCAAAACATGCAATACGGGAGTTGTTGATTCGTGAAGCTCATGGCGGTGGTTTGGCTGGTCATTTTGGCATTACCAAAACTTTGCAGGTGCTTAAAGAACATTTCTTTTGGCCGAAGATGTTGGGGATGTAACCAACATATGGGCAAGTGTGTTACATGTCATATGGCGAAAACAACTTTCAAGCATGGTGTTTACACTCCTTTGCCGGTTCCTATTTGTCCTTGGGAAGATGTGTCCATGGATTTCATTATGGCTTTGCCTAGAACTCAAAGGGGAAGGATTCCATTATGGTGGTGGTGGATAGGTTTTCAAAAATGGCTCACTTTGTGCCATGTCATAAAACCAATGATGCATCTAATGTGGCTGATTTGTATTTTAAAGAGGTGGTTCGTTTGCATGGTATTCCTAAAACAATTGTTTCTGATAGGGATTCCAAATTTCTAAGTTACTTTTGGAACACTTTATGGAGGAAAGTGGGTACTAAGTTACTTTTTAGTACATCCCATCATCCACAAACGGATGGGCAAACGGAGGTTACTAATAGAACTTTGGGTGCTTTGTTGAGAGGGTTGGTTAGCAAAACTCAAAAAGATTGGGACATCAAACTTGCACATGCTGAATTTGCCTATAATCGTTCTCCTACTTATGCTACAGGTCACTCTCCTTTTGAGGTGGTGTATGGTGTGAATCCTTACATGCCTTTGGATTTGATTCCATTACCAAAGGATGAATTGGTTCACAAGGATGCTAATGACAAGTTGAAGGCCATGATGAAACTACACCAACAAGTTCGTGAGAAGATTGAAGCAATGAGATGTACAAACAGAAGTCAAACAAGCATAGGAAACCACGTGTCTTTCAAGATGGTGACTTGGTGTGGGTGTATATGAGGAAAGAACGTTTTCCTAACAAAAGGAAAAACAAGTTAATGCCAAGAGCCGAAGGTCCTTATAAAGTGGTGTCGCGTGTCAATGATAATGCTTACAAGGTAGATTTAGGAGGAGACCATGGAGTGCATGCTACCTTTAATGTGGGAGATCTTTCACCTTATCTTGATGATGATGGACTTGATGAATTGAGGTCAATTCCTTTCAAAGGGGGAGGGGATGATCCATGCATCGATCATGAAAGCCCAAAATGTGATGGATTAGTGATTACTAGTGGGCTAGAAGGTGGTTTGGGCTCAATGGTTGGGTTGTGCATGGTAACCCACAAATTGAATTAAGGTTGCATGAAGACTAGGGCAACATTTTTAAGGCTTCATAAGTGCTAAAAACGTTACTATTTGCTTCATAAAGCCTCCTAGCCGTTTTTGACACTCTTTGGTGGATTAGGGTTACACTTTAATGCTTATAATGACTCCTTAATGCTTCTTATGGCTCCTTAAGCAAGCATAGCCGTTTTTTTTTCATTCACAAGTCTCATGGACGTTTTTTTTGTGTTCTTTCAAGAGTTACCTTAATTTCTATTTACTAGTTTTAATGAATAATTGGTTGGTTGGCTTGTAACCACCAAATTTGTAATAAAGGCTTCATATAAAGCCAAATTATGCATGGAAAAAGCAATGCACGAATTTTAATCAAAGAACCATTATTTTCACCTTGAATTATTGTTATAATTCTCAAATTATCTTGTTGGGACGTGTTCTTGACTTGATACGAACTCAATCCAATAGGTCTTGGATTGTTTTCATCGGTATACAACTTAATAGGTCTTGAGTTGTTACTATACTAATCTATCTATTTCTTTCCATTCACATATCATTTGTGGTTGCTATTCTCTCTTAATTTACCTAAACACTACCCTACTCACTAAATCAAGCCCATGCACGTATCACTTTTGTTGGAGTGATAAACAAGAAACTGCATTCCAAACGTTGAAGAAAGCCCTATGCAGCGCACCTGTTCTGTCTCTGCCCGAAGGAACAGAGGAGTTCGTTGTCTACTGCGATGCGTCTAATCAAGGTTTAGGCTGTGTGCTTATGCAAAGAGGAAAGGTGATTGCTTATGCCTCAAGACAGCTGAAAGCACACGAAGTCAACTATACCACGCATGACTTGGAACTAGGAGCCGTAGTCTTTGCATTGAAGATTTGGAGACATTATCTCTACAGAACCAAGTGCACGATCTTCACTGATCACAAGAGCCTACAGCACATCTTCAATCAGAAAGACTTAAACATGAGGCAACGACGATGGGTAGAATTACTCAATGATTATGAGTGTGAAATCCGTTACCACCCCAGCAAGGCCAATGTGGTAGCAGATGCCCTTAGCCGAATGGATAATGCAGGCCACAAAGTGAAGAACCAGATGATGACCATCCATTCCAACTTACCCATGCAAATCCGAGAAGCCCAGTTATCAGCCCTCGAACCCGAGAACATGTCGAATGAAACGTTGAGAGGAATGGAAAAGAAACTTGAGATCAGAGGTGACGGAGTTTACTGTTTCATGGATCGAATCTGGATTCCCAAGTCCGGAGGATTCAGGGAAATAGTCATGGATGAAGCGCACAGAACCAAATACTCTGTTCACCCAGGTTCTGAAAAGATGTACCTGGATCTCAAGAAACAATACTGGTGGCCAAACATGGAAACTGAGATAGCTACATTCGTGGCAAGTGTCTGACTTGCGCCAAAGTCAAAGTTGAACATCAGAAACCCTCCGGTCTGCTCCAACAACCCGAGATTCCCGAGTGGAAATGGGAGATGATTACCATGGACTTCATCACCAAACTGCCCAAGTGTTCTAGTGGATACGATACCATTTGGGTAATTGTCGATCGTTTGACAAAATCCGCTCACTTTATTCCAATCAAAGAATCATACAAGATGGAAAGACTCGCGCAAATCTACATCCAGGAGGTAGTACGTCTACACGGTGTACCTGTATCCATTATCTCTGATCAAGACAACAGATTTACCTCCAGATTCTGGCAATCCCTTCAGAAAGCCCTTGGAACCCAACTAGATATGAGCACGGTGTATCATCCTCGGACCGATGGACAGAGTGAGAGAACAATCCAAACCCTAGAGGACATGCTTAGGCCATGTGTCATTGACTTTGGAAAGTCGTGGGACACACATCTATCTTTGATCGAATTCTCATACAACAACAGTTACCACACCAGCATTAGGGCTGCTCCGTTTGAAGCCCTATACGGTCGTATGTGCAGATCCCCTCTGTGCTGGGCCGAGGTGGGGGATACACAGTTAGCCAAGAGTTGAGTCCCCGATAGTGCTCTCACTGGTCCTGAAATCATTCGCGAAACCACCGAAAAGATCATTCAAATCCATAACCGATTGAAAGCTTCACGTGATCGCCAAAAGAGTTACGCTGATAATCGTCGCAAACCACTAGAATTCCAGGTTGGAGACTGTGTCCTGTTGAAGGTCTCGCCCTAGAAAGGAACTGTACGCTTTGGTAAGCGTGGGAAACTTAATCCAAGGTACATTGGACCCTTCGAGATCCTCTCCAGGATCGGTCCAGTTGCCTATAAACTTCGTTTACCTCACGAACTCAGTAACATTCATCATGTCTTCCATGTTTCAAATCTCAAAAAGTTCCTATCCGATGAAACTCTAACGATTCCCATAGACGAGATCGAGATCAATGAAAACCTCAACTTTGTGGAGGAAATGATCGAAATCATGGATCGAGAAGTCAAACGTACAAAACAAAGTCGCATCCCGTTAGTGAAGGTTCGCTGGAATGCCAAGCGAGGACCGGAATTCACTTGGGAACGGGAAGATTCAATGAAACAGAAGTATCCACAACTCTTTCTTGATCCATGATTTGTATCTTGTCTTGTGTTTTAAACTTTGAATTTCGGGACGAAATTCCCTTTAACGGGGGGATAATGTAACAACCCGAAATTTCCATACCATCTTTTGTAACTCTCTCGTAGTACAATTCACGCAACAAATCGTCGTTTCCAAATTCGATTTCCGATCTCCCGTTTAATTAAGTCATTAATTGGTACATATTTAAAATGACTTAATGGGTGTCTTAACACATTTAGAAATCATTTTAACACCCAACTTTAGTGATCGGAATATTTTTAGAAATTACCGTATCGGGTTACGGCAACTCAATCGGGTACGACCAAA